CGGAGCTGGTGGGACTAGGGAACCCGATGCTCGGAGCTGGTGGATTAGGGAACCCGATGCTCGGAGCTGGTGGGACTAGGGAACCCGATGCTCGGAGCTGGTGGATTAGGGAACCCGATGCTTGGCGCTGGTGGGACTAGGGAACCCGATGCTCAGAGCTGGTGGATTAGGGAACCCGATGCTTGGAGCTGGTGGGACTAGGGAACCTGATGCTCGGAGCTGGGGGATTAGGGAACCCGATGCTCGGAGCTGGTGGGACTAGGGAACCCGATGCTCAGAGCTGGTGGACTAGGGAACCCGATGCTCAGAGCTGGTGGACTATGGAACCCGATGCTCAGAGCTGGTGGACTAGGGAAGAGGCTGCACTTTGGGCTCATTTCTCTGCAGTGCCCTCCTCCCCAGACCAGCCCCTCCGTCCTGGCTTCTTGGGTTGCCACGACCCCTGCTGCCTTCTGCTCGGGCTCCACCTCCCACGGTGAATGGACAGATCTCAGGGAGGGGTCTCGGGAAGGCGGGCCCCCCCCCCAAAGCCTCGGACCCCCAGCGGCTTTCCTCAGACGTCATCCGTGGTCAGGGGAGTGACCAGGTGGACGGTTCCTGTGTGCTGTGGTCCTGACCTGCCCCCAGTGCCATACTCTCCGTTCCCGGATGGCACCTGCTCGTTCCAGATGCGGACAGGGTCTCCCGCGACGTGACTTCTGCTCACCGGCCTGGGCGGCGCGTCTCTCACCCTCTTCTGTGTGCCAGCAGGTGTCCACCTTCACAGACCTCCCGCCGTACATGAGACAGTTTGTGGAGCGTCTGCAAGAGACAAGCTCGCTGAGGGACTCCGTGGTCATCGAGCAGGTGGGGGGGTCAGGCACGTGGCTCACCGCCGGGGAGGGGCGAGCATGCAGGTGGCGGTCACCGTCTGGCTGGAGGGGCCCAGGTGCAGCCTCTTCGCGAACCACACCGCCAGATTCCCTGCTGCAGTCCGGCTGCGTCCTCGTGATTTGATAGAGACGTCCTCTCCCTCGGCTTTGATTGCAAGGCCAAAAGAAAACGCGCCCCCTCCCTTTAGGAGGACAAGTTGGATTTGCCCTGTAGCCCCAGCTGGGACGACCATCTAGTGGGAAACCCATTTTTCTTGGATGTAAGTGGGGGCTGTTCCTGAGTGCAGGGCCCTCGGTGATGGATCAGTCCCCCACGGCTCTGTGGCCTCTTGCAGACCCAGTTCTAGGGACAAGCCGGTCCACCCACGGAGGCTCTGAGACGTGCAGACCCGTCTTCTCCAGCTGCCGGGTTCCCACCAGCTGCTGCGGGACACACTGGCACGTGCCGTCTGGGCCAGCGTCCACAGGCTCGAGCCCGGCCAGAGCCGTGGACCGCCCAGCATGGCATCCAGCATGGCTCCCCTGCCCGCCCACACCTCCGTTTGCTCTTCCAGAGCTCCTCTCTGAATGAAACCAGCAGCGGCCTTTTCCACCTCTTCCTACGCCTGGTGCACAACCATGTCATAAGGATCGGGGGCAAGTGAGTCGGGGTCCTCGGCACCTTCCTGTCGTCACCTCCAGACTCTGCAGGCCCTGCGACCACTCGGCTCCCAGGGTTCAGGAAGTCCTTTGGCATTTAAATGCCGGCAGATGATTTTTTTATTTATACACACAAAACCGGACTTCTCTGGGTGAGCCCCTGCATGAGGACCCCAGTGTGTGTCTGATGAGAGCGGTGGTCCTGGGGGTTCAGGCTCACAGCCAAGGTCGTTAGAGGTCAGCTTGGAATGTGGGTACCTTCCCTGGGATCATTCCCTATGCTCTAGGAATCAGAAGCTTTTTAATTAAAGGATGTATTGTTATTATTGTGTTATAAAGAATTATAGCACTCATTAAATGTAATTATATTCCAAATATAACGTCTGCATCCTGAAAAACGCTCCTGATGAGTGCGCAGTGGGTGAGTCTTCACAAAGGCAGCATGCCTCTCAGTTGCACGCATGTCAAAAGAGAACTTTCTCCATGGAAAAGGCCATACCTGTGACCCCACGCCTCCCCCAGAGAGGCACCGCCCACTTCTCTGCCCACTGTGACCTTTATAAAAATGGGTCAGGCCCATGTGGACAGTCGCATGTATAAACTGACACCTGGCAGGGCTTCATGGGAGCACAAGACAAACCTTGATTCACACGCCCTCTGGTGTGTGTGCACCTGTACGTGGTCTGTGGTGTGCGTGTGTGGTCTTTGGTGTGTCTCTGTGCTTGTGTGATCTGCATACGTGGTCTGTGTGTGTCTGTGGTCCGTGTGCAGTGTGTCTCCATGCATGCTTGGTCTGCGTGCGGTGTGTCTCCATGTGTGCGTGGTCTGCACGTGGTGTATCTCCATG